ATTCTCTTAATGAATACAGTGATTTGTTCTAATGGTGTTTGTAGATAGGATATCATGTCCGCATCTTGTACAGCAATTAACCACTGGGAGGAATGTATGGAATGTGTTAATTATTGAAACTGTCCTACCAATTTGATTTGAAACTGTCTCATTGCTATTTGTTTCTCAACAAAATTATGGGAAAAAAAGAAGCACATACCTAAATCCATTTTCAACCAAGAAAAGAGAATTGTTATACACTCAAGAAAATAATGTCTTTCATATGCACATTCTTGGGAAGCTAGCAGGACAATTTTCATCAAAATTAGGGACCAAACCAACAGGCAGAACAGGATATTCAATGAGAAGGAAGAATGAGAATATTTCTCGATAGAACAATGATAGGAAGGAATAGCTTTGCAACAGCCTACGCAATAACCAGAAATGGTAAGTTAGAAGCAACAAAGAAGAAAAATAACTATAGGAAAGAGACCTAAGTGGAATGGACTGGGAGATAGAATGCTGGAAATGAAATATAAATATTATGGGAAAAGTGGTTTTACAATTCTTTGAGATGATCAGTAACTCCAAATCTAAATAGGAAGGAGAAAAACATTAATTCAAAAAGCTTGATTAAGAAAGGAAACTACAGTATACTACTGCATTTCATAGTCAATGACCTTTATGCAACCACAAAAGCATACAGCCCCCAGGAAAGAATGAAATTATCTCAGAACCTATGCCATATTGAAAAGACACACAGGACCAGTAGGTGGGACTGTATGGAATTATGCGTCTGATTCAAAGTTGTCAAATTTGTAGAGGTCAAATCAATGTTTTTATATATTTATTTCTCCCACGTCATTCTGAATGGCTTTTGATTCCTCTTTTATTCTGTATCTGGGGCATATTAAGTTTACAAATTGTTTTGGTTCTTGCAAATAGGAAGGGTTCAAGAGACAAAGGGCAGCAGGAAAGGGAGGGAAAGTACGTAGAATTAAAGTACACCAAGTACAGGAACCTAATTACCTCAATGAATGTGAACATTTTGTCATGAATGGGAGCCAAAGATTAATAATATCAACAACAATGAGAATGGAGAAAAAGCCAGGCATGATGGTGCACTCTTATCAACCCAAAACCCGGGAGGCTTAAGCAGGAAGATGGTTGTGAGGCCAGCCTGGCTATACAGTGGATTCAAGGCCAGCCTAACCTACACAACAAGATTCTGTCTCAAAAGAAGAAAAACGTGGGGGTGGTTAGAAGAAGAGGGAGATGGGAAGGAAAGGGAAAGGATTTTTTTCCTAAGATGCATATAAATTTCATGTGCCATGGACATCTAGTAGTAAAAAGAAGAAAGGAAAAATTGTACAGGTTCAATGTGACCGCTTTCTCTCTTGTGTCCCCTTTTAGTACATATTTCCAGGATGTCTCAACAGACTTCTAGATGTCCACGTTATGCATACACTGGGGTCATATGGAATTAGGTTTGTGTTTCCTCCCTGTCTCTGACTTTCTCCTTTGCATATAAGCACATTTATTTTTATTGACTTTTGATCAATTCCTCACTCTCACACACATTGCATTCTTTGTACACTTGTAGTTGATAGAGATGGAAACTTCCAACTTCTGCTGCACTTGACACATCATTAACTTCACTGAGACACTGTGTGCCTGCTGTGTTAATATTTACTGATATATTAAGGTAATAATGACCCATTTGCTTCTGCTCGGAAACACCTTCTACCTGGAGGGATGAAAATGAAAGGCAGAGAACTCTGGGCTGCCTGGCTGCAGAGCTGACAGATGTGTTAAGAGTATATAAGAGTGGGATTAGTGGTAGCAGGTGGGGCTTGTACTCCAGTGGATGCAAGCTTTGACTTCTTTCATGAAACTTTCTTCCTAATAAAGACATTTTCTGATACTCTTGACACTGAAACATTAAAAGGTAAAGAATGCTCTATTTCTGGGAAAGCATTATTGAACGAAGGAAAAACAGTCTTGGTATGAAATAAATGGTTTATTTTGAAGAAAGCTTAAAGGTTTGATGGGTTAGAAGATCAATTTTCAGGTTATATAGAGGAAGAAACTGGGAAAGTGAATGTTTGGAAAGCTTGAAAATTGAATAGTTTTGAGGGACTCTATCAAGACAATTGAGATCTTTGTAAATTTTATTTCACATTCTAAAAACAATTAGGCTCTAATTGGAAATTGCATCTCTTTGGGCTCTAGGAAATTTCTTGATTTCAGGGCTGATTTACTCTTCTGAGAAAACCTGAGACGCCATGTGCCTCCTTCAGTTGCCGGTTGTTCTCCTCCTGCTCTCCGCTGCATTAAACACGCTGAAAGCTACGCCCATTGCAAGGTCAGTGCCCCTACAGCCTGGTTTCCTCTGCGTGGGATGGGGACCTGAGAATAAATGCTGTACTGGGAAACTATCTGCTACCACTAGAATTCTGACCAAGTCACACCTACAAAACAGCGTTGGAAACTACTCCATTTTGCTCCTGAATTCTGTGTTCTGTGACAAATAACGACTCTCACTGCTGAATCTCTCTGAGGAAACTTCTGACAGATGAAATGTGTACAGGGGTTCCCATTTTGTCAAGAAATATGCTATTGAAACTTAGAAGGGGTAAAGCCAAAACAGGAAAAATTACAATCTAGTAATGTCTATTGTATTATCCTGATACGGAAACAAACTGGACAAATTTAAGGTAAACATTTTTTATATCAGGTGGGATTTTCTTATACATTTGCATAGGATTTTTTCTCAAAGGGTTCTGGAAATATCCAAATTTTTCCATCTCTTTCTAGAAGCTGAAGTATATAAAAATAATCAGAGTGGTAAATTTAAGGTTTTTAGTAAGTTAATTTTAAGAAGAACTAGTTAAAATGTACTTTGCTGTTAAGGGGGATTCTATATTCTATATTGTTATAAATTCAGTTAATGAAACAGAATGATAAAAAGTTATTTTTTCATGACATTACTTCTGAACTGCTATCAATGCAAATCCTTAATACTTAAAACATTTTTAGCGTATATACGATTTTAGAATGTCCTAGGAAGGCTAATTTTTATTTCCTAGTTTCAATTTTTTTATTTTAAAGAAAAGAAAAATAATAAAACAACATTATAAGGTTTCAATAAAAGACTTTAGGAGATGACCATTGTTAGTACATTGCATATTGTTGTCTTCAAACTAGTTGATCATATTATAGGATATAAGCATGAAAAACTGATCAAACACTTTAGGGACAGAAATTAGTAGTGTAATTGTCTTAACTATCATCTATCTATCTATCTATCTATCTATCTATCTATCTATATCCTTATCTTCCTTCTTTTCTCCTTTCTCTCTTTCCAGTTTCTCTTTCCTTTTCAGTAGTTTTTTTTTTTCCTGTTAGAATATCTAGTGTACTTTTTGGAAAGCTCATTTTAAAGATACGATGTCACCTAGTAAATTTAAAGACATCTAAAAACTGTCCCATGATATGGTTAGCAGTTATTAAAAGTTTCAAATGAAAAATCTTTAAAACTGTATTTGTCTGCTTGTTTCAAAGATTCTTGAGTCCACATCCATGTATCTGACATAAAAAATAAAATAATGATTTTGATTGTGCCTAAATTAGTTTTTCTCTATATAGACTTGAGAAAATGATCTTAAACACTGTTTGAGACCAAGGAAAGTTAGTTTTGCCTTTGAAGAGTCCTTGAAATGAACACTTCTTATTAAAGTCACTGTCATCTTGTCTTTTTTCATCTTTGTGTTATATTTTTCTGAGCGGAATGTAATACAGAAAGGCAATGTGTAATGATTTCTACAGGACCTACAGATAATGAATAGCAAGAATCAGCATAGGGTTTCCTTTGTTCAAGGCTTATCTACAGGACAGTTTCTCAGAACTGAGGGTACTTTTCCAAAATAAAACTTTACAACTGATAGAAATTTTCTAAGCAGAAACACTTGAATAATGACAGGAAAGTTAACAGTCTTACCTAGTGCATCTGTCAGTGTCTTTATTGCTCCTTTAATTAGATGCAGATATTTGGGAAATAAGTTTACCAAATGCGTCATTATGGCTACGTGCTTATTCTGAGTAGATCTTCATTTGGAAACAGAATAATTCACAAGATTTCTTATTATCAAATTGCTTTCATATTATCTCACAACCTTTTACTTTGAGGCTTTATTAGCTATTGTGTGGGTTATTACTTTTTAATATTTTTCCTGGAATCAGTACGTTTGATTAGTTTTCAAAGCAAAGGATAAACTATCATCTCAAGCTATTAAATTTTTAAATATTTTTAAAATCTCATAAAAACCTAAGAGAACTAATAGAAAGTGTCTAAATGTTAAACTCCTTAAAGACAAAGTGAATGTAGATGTATTAGTCACTGTCATTTTCCTCATAAAATTCAATTACCTCATTGGGGTATTTGTGGCTTCCGTACATGTACGTGATGAGATTAAGACATTACAAACTGACTTTACAAACCATCCCATACCATGGTTTCATCACTTTACACTCATAACTAAAGCAAAAGGATCACATACTTCTCCATTTTTTTTTACATGCTCTTGTAAATATGGGCCTAGAAGATAATCCAAGGGCAGTCAGAATTACAAGTACCTATCCAGCTGCTGAGTGATAGTGTGGGTCGCTACAGGAGCACGCATGCTCTACAGATAAGTGTGCAGAGCCAGCTTCAAGGACCCATTGACCACCATCAAAATTGAAATGGAGATGTTTTTGAAGAGATAAGCTTAAGGGTTAAGTTTGGCTTATTGTCCTTAGTGCCTAACCTTTCTCACAGTCATTATTCTACTTGTGTGGCTATGTGAGTCTATACTTGAGGAATAGCTTGATGTTTCGTATTAGGTAGGCAGACAGAACTTCCCGTCCCAGATCATCAAAGAAAAATAGTGTTTCTTACATATCAGAGAATAAGTTCCTCACTAACATTGAAGAGTACAAGGCAAGCACACATTGTTATTATGATTGTTTGGAATGCTTTCTGAATTTCAAAAAAGTAGCACTGTACTGGGAAATGCAACACTGACCATGAAGAAAGTTGTCTTGTGATTTCATATTCAAAAATTGATTCTGTCACATCTTTCAAGTGCGACAAACAACGGTGACCCAGAAATTTACAAACCAAAACTCTGAGTTACTACTGTGAGAACTTTTTCTCAGTTCATCCTCATGAGCTATGTTGAGTCATACGGCTGTCTCTTATTCGCATTCTAAGTCTCTGAATTTTTGTATTTGTTCAGTGATACCGACCATCGTGTGGACAAGCGGAAATGCAACACAGCCACGTGTGCAACCCAACGCCTGACCAATTTTTTGGTTCGTTCCAGCCACAACCTTGGCGCTGCTCTTCCACCGACTAAAGTGGGATCCAACACATATGGCAGGAGGAATGCAGAGGTTGTAGACGTTGAACTCCTGCATTACTTACCCCTTTAGAGGGCGAAGTCTTCTAGAATTCTCCCATTATGCATATACTCAGACGATTTCCTGTGCGTTTTAGCGGAGTCTTTTTCATTTCTAGTATAAATGTGTGACATTCGGTGTTCCATATTTGTTATCAGTAACGATAAATTGTCACAGTAAAATTGTATTGAATTTGCTACTAGTTAAGGTCCTAAAAGAGATAGATAATGTCTTTAAAAATAAAATGTTCTTGCTATGCCTCTTTCTTTTAATGATATTTAAAAAGTTGTTTTTAAGCCTATATTTTATGATCTAAGTTTTAAAACAAAGGATAAAATGGGGGCTTGAAACTTGGTAAATCATAGGTGCTAGTAGTAAAGTTTTGATTCTGAACATTAAAAATCAACACTTGTAGGTACTTTGGTTAGGCAGTCTCTTCATGCACCATCATTACAAAAATAAGACTTTAAAAAAAAATGAATGAAATCCTGCTCCTGATTCATTCAAAATATCTTTGAAAATTATATTCTAGGGGCTGGAGAGATGGCTCAGTGGTCTGAAGCACCTACTTAGAACAAGCTTAGCAAAAGCATCAGGGACCGCGGTTCAATCCCCCAGCACCACATGCCAGCCAGCCCTGCCCCCTGGTGG